CATGTTGGTCAGGCTGGTCTGGAACTCCTGACCTCATGATCCGCCTGCCTTGGCCTCCCAAAATGCTGGGATTACAGGCGTGAGCCTGGCCAATTCCATTTAATTTTCAGACTTCTGTAGCTATTCCTACCCCATGTTATGGTCAAGAAAACTGGGGCTCAGAGGTAAAGTGGCCAGCTCAAGGCCACTCAGCAGTCCAATAGCAGAGCCTGGCCCACATGGAAACCCAGGACTCCTGGCTGTGGAGGAAGAAGAAGTTACTGACGTGTGTGAGTTCCATACTTCACAGTTTGCAGGGAGCAGTCACCCATCTTTGCCCCTGCAGTATGGGGCTTGTTGTCCTCCTGACACTCCAGCTGTGGCCTCTGCGAGAGCATGCCTTTGTCTGTCTGTGTCCTGCTGCATCCCCGCACCTAGCACAACGCCCAGTACACAGGAGGTGCCTAATAAATGCTCATTCTAAGGAAGCAGTCCAGAGGGAGCTGTGGTGTTTAGCAGCAGAGGTGTTGGAGCCTGATAGACCTGATGGGTGTCCCAGCTCTGCCACTCCCTAGCTGTGTGACCTTGGGTCAGTTACTTACCTTCTCTGAGCTTCAGTTTCCTCAGTAGTAAGGTGGAAATGATAACAGTACTTACCTCATAAGCTTGTGGTGAAAGTTAAATGAGGTAATCCATGGTACTTGGCAAACACATAACCAATAATTATTATTATTAGTTACTAATAAGAGAAGGTAGTGACTCAAGATCATACAGAAGAGCTGGGATTTGAGCCCACCTCTCTGCAGCTGTGACAAGTCTGATCCTTTCCATGATGCCACAGTGCCTTGGGTGCAGGAGGGGCTGAAGTATCAGGGGAGACTCCTGGAAGAAGGGGCTAGAGCCGGATGGCAAGAGAGAAAGAGGCATTCCAGATGCGAGGAACAGCTGGAATAGAGGTGCAGCAGTTGAGATGGGCAGGGTGACCCTGGAGAACAGGGAAGGGGCCGGTGAGGAGGGCAGAAGTAGGAGGCAGAGGATGGAACTGCTATGTGATAAGGCACACAGCAGGTCAGCGACTGTTCTTAGAGGCAGGGCAGATGGCCCTCACCACTCAACCCCTCCCAGTTTCCCAGTCCTCTGTCCTGCCACTCCCGCTCCCTCTGCAGCCCCTCTCAATTCTCACCATCTCCCTTTCTGTTTGCCCATGCTGTCTCCTCTGCCTGGTCCCAGGCCTCTCCCATCTCTGCCTGTTGAGTCCTCCACATCCTTGAAGACCTATTTCAAAGGGTACCACCACCCCCAGGGAACCTTCCCCCTAGTCAGAAGTGTGACAGCACACACAGCAGTATCCCTCCAGGTGCCCTGGAGACACACCATCCTTCATGCATCTTGCTACCATCTTTCTTCCGTGTTCTCAGTGTGACTTTTCTCAGTCTACTCACCTCTACCACGTGGTCGTCTCCAGCGTCCCATCCCTCGGGGGCACCCAGTTCACACTGACCCACCTGGCTGCTCCAGCAAGAATAATGAAGTGACTTTGTGTTTAAAAGACGCACACTGAGAAGTGGACAGCTCTTTTCCTTTCTTTTTTTCCATGTCATTTCTCCATTTACCCACTCTTGGTATAAGCAGAGGTCAAAAGCTCAGCAGGGAGACTCAGGAGAGGAGGGTGCGCTGAGCCACATTTTCTGACTTTTTTTTTTTTTTTTTTTTTTTGAGACAGAGTTTTGCTCTGTCACCAGGCTGGAGTGCAGTGGCGCAATCTCGGCTTACTTCCAGGTTCAAGCGAGTCTCTTGCCTCAGTCTCCAGAGTAGCTGGGACTACAGGCATGCATCACCATGCCCAGCTAATTTTTGTATTTTTAGTAGAGACAGAGTTTCACCATGTTGGCCAGGATGGTCTCCATCTCTTGACCTGGTGATCCGCCCACGTCGGCCTCCCAAAGTGCTGGGATTACAGGGGTGAGCCACCACGCCCAGCCTTCTGACTTCTTAA